TCGGGGTGGAGCGTGCGAATATGATTTAATGCGGCCAAATGCGGCATCAAATCCGCTCACGGGAACTCTATGCAATCATTCAAGCATTCAAAAACCGCTGCCCATAAAGCCAACGAACATATACGGTGACAGTCTTCCTACTTTGCTCTCATGGAACACGAGTTACCAGCATAATGGCGTCCAAGCTGTCTGCCCACGGCTACATCTCTTTGAACGACAGCAAGCTATTCTATGAGACTGAAGGAAACACCGACGGGCCAGCAATCTTGTTTATTCATGGGTTGGGCGGCACGACGAATGCTTTCCAGCCTCTAATCCCAGAGCTCCAGGGATACAAGATTGTACGCTTTGATTGGTCTGGCCATGGCCGGAGTTCTACGCCGGCGACTACCAGCATCGACTCTTATGTGGGAGATTGTCTCGGTATGTGGGAGAGCTTGTGTACATCGGCGTCAAGGTTCTGTGACTGACCCATTGTTCTCAGCCGTGATGGATGAGTTGAAGTTAAAGAATGTCAATGTCGTCGGACATTCATTAGGCGGGCTAATCGCTTTACATCTCGCCGCAAAGGCCTCTGATCAAGTCAAAAGTCTGGTCTTGTTCGGCCCGGTCAGTCCACCTCCTGAAGCTGGTCAGCAAGCACTGGGAGGCCGTGCAAAAACTGTTCGAGAGAAGGGCATGGTAGGAATCGCCGACACCGTGGTGGGGAACGCTTTTGCTTCCGAGTCGTACCAGTCAAAGAGAGCTGAAGTAGCATTAGCCCGCGAAATGTTGACGAGGCAAGATCCTGAAGGGTATGCACTGGCTTGCGAGGCACTGGCCAAGAGCCAAGCTGCTTCTTGGGACCGCATCAAGGCTTCAGTTGTGGTTGTGTCCGGGAACGAAGATAAAGTCTCTACGGTTGCAGCTGGTGAGACGACGACCAAGAATCTCGGGTCCAATGCGAAGCAAACAGTCCTCGAAAAGGTGGGACACTGGCACATGCTTGAAGCCACTCAGAAGTCGATCGAGATCATCAAGAGTACATTCTCATAGAGATACGGATAAAGTACTTAATAACGCTGGATATAAGCAATTTTCTATGACACCCAGCCGACTCTTCATTCTACTTCCCATTGACACCATTGGCATGGTTCCCTTGCAACGAGAAATCTTCTCCCTTGAACGGTTTCAAACCGGCAGTTACCCGCATCCCAGCAGCACAAGCACTCCAATCCAATGACTCTCCTCCGAGTGCTTTTGCCGTGGTCAAATGATTCCAGGCTTGATCGATAATCGGCGTTGGCGTTGACGTCTCGGCTCCCAGGCGACGAATGTATGAAGCATCTTTCATGCCTCCGGGCAGGGTAAAGCCTGTCTTGCCGCTGAACGCGCCATCCCGGATCTTTTTGCCATAGTTGACCCAGGCTGCTGCAGGAAACCATTGTTCTGGGACAGCAAGTCAGTATTGTTCCAACGCAAATCGAAACAAAGGTGAAACTTGCGGATAAATTCGTAAAAGACGTCGGTGTCGAAGCCAGTCTTTTCGGCCAAGGTGAAGCTTTCAGATAGCAATTCAATCGTGCCCAGAATACAGTTGTTCCCCAGAATCTTCAGCAGAGCACCCTTGGAAGTCTCTTCACCGCAATCTATCACACCTTTTCCGAGGGTAGGGACAATGTACGACTTCACCGCCTTCCGCGACTCCTCCTTGCCGGAGAGTACGATCAACAGCCCTGCACTCTTGGCGGCGGCAGGCGGACCGAATACTGGGCAAGACATGAATGAGGCACCAGCTTCTCGGGCTTCCTTCTCCAGCATCGTCGAGGTGGTAGGGAACAGAGTTGAGTGGTCGACCAGGATCAACCCGTGTTTACGAGCCTGGAGGATCTCCCGATATACTGAAAGGGCAACGTCGTCGTTGGCGAGGCAAGTATGGATGATATAGCATTTCCGGACCAAGTCCGGGATGGAGTCTGCGACATCGCAGTAGCTGTTCGCTGCGACAGCCTCGCTTTTGCCTCGCGTCCGATTCCATATTTGCACTTTAGGGAGGCCTTTGGACTCGGCGTACGAGGCCAGGTTGTGGCTCATCATGGAACCCATGTTTCCAAGCCCAATGAACCCGAAAGCCATCTTGTTGTTTGCCGCCATGGTGTAGAACGGTTGAGGTACACGTCGGCAAGGCTGGCTGGACAAAGGTATCAATGCACTTTGGAGTCAACAGCGTCGTTGTTCTATGAAAGACAACCAAGTCACTCTCCAAAAAAAGTTATAAAGGGCCTTATCGCCAAGAGTCCATCTTGATATCTTCTGCGATGAGGACAAAAAGGCTATGCCTGGGCAGACCGGCATCTCGCCGTTTCCAGGTCTCCAACTGACCACCGCGACTCCGCAACAACACAACAAAACACACTCTCTGCCATGTCTCGACGGCGTCCTCCCGCGATGTCCTGTGGCATTTTGGAGCGGAGTCTCCGCAAGTCTATGCAGGTGCAGCATGGGGTCCCGTAAGGAGCCATTCCACATACCATACAAATCGTTGGAAGATCCCTCGTTTGAGATGGATGTTGCTTGACCAAAAGCCCCTTCCGCCGACTGTCCAAACATAGGGTTGTATCTTTGTTGAATATTTCGTGGTCGTCTCTCTACAAGCCTGCGTTGAGAGCGATACGCATCCCAGCTTCAAGATGGGCTCGATCGGTAATACCCAGGCCAATGGCATAGGCGATCTCCTCGCAGATTTACCTCCGTACAAGCCCACCCCAGCCGACATCACCATCGACAACCACAAGGCCGGGGACAAGGGCAAGATTTTTTTCAAGAATGTCAACATTTTTGATTCAACAGGGGCAGACATGTACGCGGGGGACGTGCTGATCGAAGGCGAACGGATCAAAGCGGTCGGCAAGGTCAATTTTATCCCTGACGACGACACACTTGTAATCGACGGCAGCGGCAAAAAAACGCTCATGTCAGGTCTCTGCGACTCACATACGCATCTGAGCTGGAATAACTCGCCTACACTGGACGGACTGACAAGTCTGCCACTGGAAGAGCACGTCTTGCACACGGCCGAATCCGCAAAGACCTACATCGACTGTGGCTATACCATGTGCTTCGGCGCTGCTTCGGCACAAGAACGTCTGGATATCGTCATCAAGCAAGCGATCAAATCCGGTATGATTCCCGGTCCTCGGACGCTGGCAAACTCTCAGGAGATCACCACCACCGGCGGAGCAATCATCCCTAGCATAAGTCACTATGCTGACGGAGAGGATGCGATGCGGAAGACGGTCCGACATTTCATAGAACTGGGAGCTGATAACATCAAGCTGAGCATGACTGGCGATTATGTACACCCTACTATGGGCGCCACGGAGACATACTTCACGTTGAAGGAGACGAGAGCCGCGGTGGAGGAAGCCCACAACCGAGGGAAGCGAGTGTGCGCTCATGCACGTTCCGCCGCATCTGTGAAGCTCTGCTGCCAGACAGGTGTGGACGTGGTCTACCATGCCTCGTTTGCGGATGAAGAAGGGTTGAACATGCTCGAGGCTCTGAAAGACCGTGTCTTTGTTGCCCCAGCAATCAACTTCCCCTACAACACCTGCTCAGGGGACGCCGTGCCCTACGGCATGACGCCCGAAATGGCCAAGAAGAAAGGTCTCGTTGACGAAGTGGACAAGGCATGCAAAGCCATGCGTGAGCTCCACAGACGCGGCGTCCGCGTCCTCCCAGGTGGCGACTACGGTTTCGCGTGGGCGCCTCACGGCACGTACGCGCGAGATCTGGTCCACTTCGTCAACCTCTTCGGCTACACGCCCAAGGAAAGCCTGATCGCGGCCACCGCCCTGGGCGGCGAGATTATGGGCCACCCGGGAGAGCTTGGGAAGGTCCAGCCGGGTTACTACGCGGACGTGATCCTCGTGGACGGCAACCCGCTCGAGGACATGGAGATCTTCCAGGACACGTCGAAATTGCATGCCATCGTCATCAACGGCCACGTGCACAAGAACGTGGCCGTGCTCGGAGCCGACGGCCAGAGTCTGACCGCCGACGGACTGGCGAACAAGAGGACCATCTACACGAACTTGCCATTGGTGCCAGAGAAGGAGCAGCAGAAGATGCTGGAGGACGCCAAGCAGAATGGTATTGGGGTTGAGCCGCACGCAGTTTGAACCCGACAATAATCTGTGCGTGTATGTGATAAATGCATCTTTTGTCGTCTTTGAGACCCTCGATTGCACAAAAGAAAAAGGACCGAAAAAAAGAAAATTCATGCATACCATCTCTACCCTCCATTTTTTCTCCTCCCACAAGTCAGTAGATTTCGCTTGATCTTTCCGTTGTAAGAGTGCGTGACACGTGTTGGAAACCCCTTTTGCCATCCTCAGCTTCGCCAAGGAGTTAGTTTACGTGGAGTCATGGATGTACTGAGTACATATTATATATTACGTAGACGCGGATAGACGCTGCACTCGCCCCAAAAGCATCGGTTTAGCATGCCATATCTCGCGAGACCAGTGCATAAGAGACGAATGGGTCAGCAGGGCTAGGGGAGTCGCACGATCCCTTGATCCCCGGGGGGGGGGTTTGTATTGGATATGGCAGTGGCTGGAACACAGAACGACCGTACAAAAAGAGAGGGGGAGGGAAAAAAGGCGCTGATCGAAGTGTAAAGGAAGCCCCGCCCTTCGCTTCGCGTCGTAGGATTCAACGAGTTCAAGTATCAAGTGCAAACATGCGATCCTGGAGGGCTATCTCGCTAGTAGCTACCTCTCTACCTCTGTTTCCCATCATTAAGCCGTTCGTAACATTCATATACATTCTCCTGCCTTTCGGTGGTGACGCACCCTGAACCCACAAGCATCGCCCCTAACAAGGCGCAGCATGCATGGCCATTAATTAAAGATTCTCCACCTTTTCGGACTTCTATAGCATGTGCGTGTCCATGATCTCATTTTCTCGGAATCGAAAGCAAACATTTGCTGAAGCCTAGAGTAGAGGCTAAGCTCGCTCTACAGCAGGAGCATTAATGCCAAGCAAATAGCTAACCCGAGCGTTGTCGATCGCAGGTCGATATCTGTGGATGAGATTCTGAGGGCGGCTGCTGCTCCGGTGAAAGTGGAAGATGAACCAGTCGATGAACCAGTCGTTGTGCCTGAAGCGCCTGAGGAGCCGGAGGTCGTCGAGGAAAGAATCGACCCAGACGAGACTTGCGCGCCCGGAGTAACTGTCATCGTCGTGGTATAAGAGCTCGTGGTCGGCGAGGTGGGCAGAACGAGAACGGCGCCAGCGGCCTTCAAATCAATGCCGAACAGCGTGGTCGTCCTATTATCACTCACGGGCATGATAATGGTTATTTGTGACCACGCGGGTCCGGAAACCGTGCTATGTGACCATGTCGTTGTCAGGACTGTTTCTGTCGTTTCATACGGATGAGCTGACATCGATGAAATTGGCGGTGTGGAAGCGGTAGTCGACGACACCGGCACAACCGACGTCGGCTGGGTATTGGGCGATGGCGGAGGCAGAAAGCTCTTTGGAGTCACGGTTGTCGATAGTGTCCCGGTCACCACGCTGTAGCTTGATCCTACGGCATTGGTCGAGGTCGCTGTAACAGAGGTGCTCACGACAATCGTAGAGAATTGGTCGCAGTACTCGAGGAATTGTTGGAACTGTGGTGCAATCTGCACAAAGCTGGCACTGTTGTCGGACTTGTGGTAATCAATACACTGCTCGCATTGGTCTAGAGATACCTCAAACGCCGAGCCGGGGACACAGAGTGCCGACGTCTTCCCATTCGCCTGGGCTTCCAATAGACAGTTATTGCACCAAGGATAACAAGCCCCTGGGACGCTGGTCTGCGCTTGTCTTGCTGCAACAGTGGGACTTGGGGGAAGTAGAATTGTAGTGGTAAGAGTGATGACCTCGTTCACGATAAAGATCTCGTAGGTTAGCCCGAAGTCGGTCGGGTTAATGTTGAAGTAACCGTTGATCGCGTTGATATGCAGTGCGGGATCTGTTGCAGGAGTGACATTTCCATATATGTCCTGGTCCCACGTAGGCAGCGGTGAAGGCAACGCGTTCGCGGGGATGCATTCATTCGGACTACAGTAAAAGTTCCGGTCCGGAATACCAGCCTCGAAATTGCAATTCTCCTGAAGAGGTTTACATAGCCAGCCCGGAGGACATCCCCATCTGGAGAGAGTATTGTTAGCAAAGCTGAACATGGACAGGAGACATGAGCGGCAGGGGCCGTCAATAAACACAGGACAAGGCCATGACGGTATGGCCGCGATAGAATTGGAGCCTGGAGTCAAACTTACGTCCAGTCGGTAGGGTATGGTCCGAGGGCGGTGTAGGTCGGGTTGACTATTCGAGTTGGACATACTGTAATGCTTGTAGCCTGGGAAGTTACTGAGTACAACGAGATAATCTCAGTTGCCGTCACTGTGGTTGGAGTAGTCGAGACAGTGGTTGATGTTTCCGTCAAGGTGGCAGTGGTGGGAGTGATGGAGACCGTGATCGATGTTTCCGTCAGCGTGTCAGTGGTAGGGCTGATTGATACAGTGGTTAATGTCTCCGTCAGCGTATCAGTAGTCGGGCTGATCGATACGGTGATTGATGTCTCCGTCAATGTGGCAGTGGTAGGGCTAATCGACACAGTTACTGATGTTTCTGTCAACGTCGCAGTAGATGGCGAAATCGAGACCGTTGTGGATGTTTCCGTCACTATCTCGGTCTGCGAATGTAAGCGTTTCCAAGCCAAACTTCATTTGAAGGGGACCAACCGTAGTCAATATGGTTGTTGAGATAACAGTCTGAAATATCGTGATTGGTAGAGTGGTTGTGTCATGGTAAGAAGCGGTGGTTGTGGAAGTGAGCGACACATATTCAGTTTCAGTCACACTGATGAAAACCGTCGGCGCCGGCAGACAGATGTCCGACCAGGTCTCTCCTCGCGGTACGGGAGCTGGCGGAGTCTGGACGGTGACAGTAATCGGCTGAGCGAAAGCAGTGCTGATTGCGAATGACAGACAGGCCAGGAGGCCGAGAGATGGATGCATCTTGACAGCGTTTCTTCTCAAGCCTAGACAACTACTTCCTCCTCAGAGTCACAACGCGCTCATGATGCGACCAACCAGAGCACGAAGCTGAAAACGAATGATTTTGAACAAAAGGACGGGTTTAAAGTTAACGAAAGTAGATGGAGGATAATGAGGACATCAAAAGCTGCCAAAATCGGGGTCAACTAAAATGCGCGAGGGATATAGAAGTCGCTTCGAGAAGACTTGCCGTCATCATTGCAGAGCATTTGGGACAATGATAATGCCCTGGCATCGTCCAAGCTTGCCTGATGGGATGGCTGGGATGACACGCCACATGGCATCAGGCTTTTCCTGAGATGTACGGTTGGGCGTTGGAAGAGCACCAGCGAATGCACGTTGGTGACGTTCCTGGCTTCGCACGGGAATTGCCTTGCCAGATGCAGATGGTGACATGCCAATCAATGATCGAATGTGCCTTTTTCGAAGGACGCTCGCATTCGGGGGCTTTGCCCTGTATTCTCTAGCTTGTGGAAGTGGGAAGGAAGTCTGGCTGGGATGGAAGGTCGATCATGGAGAAGGGAGCAGAACGGACGATTGACGTTGAGGCTGGAGGACGGTTTCCGCCAGGTCAGTGGAGCCTCATCCCAGCCAAGCACTAGCCAAGCACTAGCCTTACCCACTGCCCAGGTTCCCGCCGGCCCCACTACTTCCGCTATCCCTCTTCCGGTCTGAACAGTCTCCAAAACCGGTTTCATGTTGGCCACGGCATAAGCGCACGGCATGGGCTGATCTAGCCTCGACCTTTGTCTCTACCAAGGCGGCATTGACAACTTACAGGTCGTGCTATCTTCGCTTGGCTGCAAATCGTGACAGGTTTTTCTGTTCTTCAACCGACCAACCTTCCAGGGATCGAGGGGTTCAATGGTCTCCATTCCCTGTTCCGGGCGGGATTGTTCCTGATCCTCGTTCTTGTCTCTCCTACCGTGCCAGGGTCTGATCTCCATGTCTGATATCAGAGGCGCAGTTCAGGCGAGTACAGTTCTATGATTCATTGGCCCTGGTTCAGAAGCACCACTCCAGTGTCAGCCCATCATGGCGATAAAGACCCTGAAGCTGCGCGGATCGAATATTGCGAAAATTCAGGCCCATGGATACGCTGCTTCAATGACTGATGTAGTGATTGTCATTCTGGTGGCAAATTTTGGTCCTGATGATGATCGGTAAGTATCAACACGAGGTATGTCTCAGAGCGCACAGTCTTCCCTCCCGTCCAATTCAGTGCTTTGGGATTCCAAACGAAGACAATTGTTCGCTTTTTTGCTGGGACTCGAGCTCAGTGTCAGCGATCTCTAAACAGAGATGACACCCGGAATCCTGCGAATTAGTCGCAATGAAATTGTATCCGACTTGCATCGTGCTTGAGGGTGTGCTGCTTGGCGCCGCATCTGGCATATCAGTCCAAGGGAACTATACAATATGCAACTGGGCCCGATTAAGGGCTGGAGTCATCCGTGATGCCCTCTACCTTGATGGCGGTTTGCTCTGGTGGCAAACAGCCTTTGCAGATGGAACGGCGCCAGTCGTGAGCAGCGATGGCAATGTCGAGGGGGAGATGTTTGTTTTGAACTTCTCGACACCTTTCGACACGACCAAGACTAATATGTCGGGCTTGTTTGATCGGATGTCGAAGGCGGGTGGCGCAGGAAACAATATTGCACCGAATTATGTCGATGGGACCATGTTTACGAATGATGGTGAATTATACCTTTTCGGGTAGGTACTCTTACTCCCAACATCTGTGCCCGCTATGGCTAATTACCTTCTCACAGTGGCCTCCCTCGTCTCACCGATTCTGCTTCCCCACAAAGCGCCGAAACTGTTCTTGGATATGAAGCTTACCAGTACGGCCCGGATCGGACAAGCTGGAGTCCGGGCTTTTATCAAGGAAGTCTGCCGGACGGCGTAACAAGATATATCACAAATGGCGCCGGAGCGTCTGCACCCAGCGAAAACCTAGGATTCTACTTCAGCGGGATGCGATCACCGACATGGGGTCCGATATACTACGAGGACTCCTCCGCCAACATGACCGCGGACACTCTTATCCAGGTTGACATGTCGGTCATGAGAAGCGAGAAATGGACAAATGCAACGCTCCCGGACAACATCCAGCCGCGCGCGAACGCCGAGCTTGTATGGATCCCTGTCTCCGAGAAAGGCGTGCTGATCGCAATCGGCGGTGTCAGTGCGCCCGAGGAGATATGGGCGTCCGGCTTGAACGGCTCGCAGAGTTCGGAAAGTGAAGCGCAGAGTCCCGGGTTCATGACCACTTTGCCCGTCTACGACATCGCTTCTAGCACCTGGTATCTGCAGAATACCACTGGTCAAGCCCCGGGACAACTGACGGAATTTTGCTCCGTGGTAGCAACGGCTAAGGACTCCTCGTCGTTCAACGTCTACATCTACGGCGGCTACGACGGATTAAACGCAGACGATGAGCCCTCGGACGACGTCTGGATCCTGTCGATTCCGGCCTTCCAATGGATCAAAGCGTACAGCGGGACCAAGTCACATGGTCGCTCGGGTCATCGATGTGTCGCCCCGTATCCGGATCAAATGTTTGTCGTCGGCGGGGTCCACCAAAACCAGGCCAATTGTGTCGAGGGTGGCATTATCCAGATTTTCAACCTCAACAATCTCGAGTTCCAGAATAGCTACGACCCTGACACCTGGTCTGACTATCAGGTGCCCGCCGCCGTCACCAATGCTATAGGGGGCAATGCTCAAGGAGGCTCTACCAAAACCGCAGCTTGGTCAGATGGTGCCTTAGCGGGCATCTTCTCAAAATCATATTCGAGACAAGTTACCCACTACTACCCATATCCAGTCAACGACTCCTCAATAGAGTCAACCAGCAGCGGACACTCGGGAGTCAGCACAGGTGCCATCGTTGGTATCAGCATCGCCGCCGCCGTGATATTCATTCTCCTCCTCATCCTTATATTCCTCCTGGTCCGGCGTCGTCGAATCATCAACAGTGGTTCTTCCGACAAATCCTCGCACTCCAGCAACAGTCGGATCACCCGATGGTTGAACGGAGCAGCAGTGATTCCAAAACGCCCTCAACATCAAATGCGTCAATCCTCTCAAAGCTCGCCACCGGAGGTGCAACAAGTCGGTTATAGCTCGTTATCCGAAGAACCGACTCCACTGCAACCAGAACGACACGAAATGGCCAACAGCACAGAGCGTCCCAGGCCACCTTACGAACTGGCCACGCCGTACAATAATCTCGGCCATCCACGACACTCTGGAATCGTCGACTACGCGTACAATACCAATTTCGGCCACACACATTCAAACTCGACATCTTCCGAGGATGTCTACCGTCCTTCCCCACTAAGTAACAGTTTCAACGACGCCGCCCCCACGACGGGAAACAACAACAACAACAACAACAACAACAACAACAACAACAACAACAACAACAACAACAACAACAACAACAACGATGTCGCCGCCGCCGCCACTATAGGGGCCACATCGTCTCCTCTCCGCAGCGTGCGCTTCCCTCCCGCTGGCCTCACGTCCGAGATCTTTAGCCCCGGCCACGAGAACTCGAACTCAAACTCGTCAAACTATTCGTCCGGTGAGACCAACGAGACGCTCGCTTGGCCGTTGCCACCCACTCAGAACAACTGGCGAGGCAGCAACAACAACAACAGCAATAACAACAACCGGGCCCGTAACACAAACGCGACACGATTCCCGTTTGACAGGGAGAGAAGCAGCGAGAGCAGTTCCGTGCAGCCGATCATCGAGGAGCATGAACCGGAGTCGTGCCGCGAGAGCGTCGCCCACGAATTGCCTGCCGACGACAACGACAACGACAAAGAGGAGCATGAGTACCATTACCAGCACGGCAACGAGAGCGCGATTAGCGGCATTGGGACGTTGCCGAGTCCCACGCGGGCTGGCGGGGAAGGGGGGACCATGCCCGAGGACGAGGAGCACAGGAGGAGCCTGTTCGACACGATAAGTCCCGTGAGCCCAACACTAGGGAGGAATTGGAGGCGCTGAACGACTGTGAGAGTTCACGGTAACGATGAGAAACAACGACCTGACGACCGAGGATATCACACCTACATCACACGTACATGTACAGAAGTAGCCATTTGGACTCCTGCTCTAAAACTGGCGATTGAGGAGGCAAAGATCCATGTCGCCCCTATTTCAACACATTTTAATTGCTTGCTGATCTGTGAGAAATTTCACTTGTGAACATACGAGGTACATGGGTATCATCTCTATCTCGCGAGTTTGCCGGCGATGAGGCCGTCCCGTACTTACTTTTATAACTGATTAGAACCTCGTATCAGTTGATGAGCCTTGGTTCGTCTCATCCTCCCAACTTCTAAGAGCTAGTCGTACTCTCCAAAACCTCTAAGAACCCACCGACGAGGTGCAGGCTCCCTGTCACCAGGGCCGCAACTTCTTTCTCCTCTTCTGCGTCAGCAGCCTTCTGGCGGTGAGAGTTAGCAAAGTTGCGGACAATATTGACTGCCTCTTCGATCGTCCTCACCACCTCGACTCGAGCTGAAGGGTCTATGCCCCTCCATGTCTCGGCGAGGTTATTCTGCACTTTCATTGACTCAATGTCCGAGGCATTGACGTTCACCGCCACAAGATCGGGTTTGAAGCCCGTTTCTTTGAATGTCGTGTTTGTGCAGAAAATGGCATGGGTGAACGGGTGGGGGTCATTAAGAGCTGTCGACAATGTGTTGAATAACGCCGCCGCAAGCGAGGCGGCGTCGCGTGTCTGTTGGTTGAAGATCAAGAAACGCGGTTGCTGGTAAAGCGGCTTTGAAGAGTCCTTGTTGGTCATAAGTTGAGAAGCGAACCACTTCCCTGCCAGCTCAATGCTTTCGAGGGTGTGGCCACCATCAATGCACCATTTTATCCCCGCCTCATACCGTGTCTCACATCTGCCTGGCCACCAAACAGTTTCCAGTCCGCGCACAAATTTCTGCTTGTAGTCGTCGGCGTCCGCGTAGCCTTGTTGGTCTAGCCATGTCTTTGCTAGAGCAACAGCAAGACTAGCATTCATCTTCTGGAAGTCTGCTTGGAGTCCGAGCTTGATCTCGCCACTTGCGATAGCTGGATCAACATCAACATACTCGAGCACGCTCCCTTTCTCGTTGGCGACTCGCTCCATCACTGCTTTTGCCGCCGCAGGCTGGCTGCTCGGTGTGAAACACTTGATGCCGCTCTTCATGATTCCAGATTTGTGCCAGGCAATCTCGCCGATCGTGGAACCGAGCATGCCGACATGATCAATCCCGAGGCTTGTGATACAAGTCACGGCCGGCGCTTCGAAGATATTCGTGCTGTCATAAGCACCACCGATGCCACACTCAATCACAGCAACGTCGACCTTCTCCCTTATATAGGCATGGAAGGCCATCAACGTGAGGAATCTGAAATAGACGGGTTTCGCCTCTGGAGACTGGGGGTCTTGTCCTGCTTCTTTCGCAACATTCTCCAGCTTGTCCCAAACCTCGAAGAAATATTGGGCGAATTGACCCTCTGACAGAGGTTGTCCGTTGATCTGTATGCGTTCCCGTACAAATCGAAGATGTGGGGATGTGTACAAGCCAACTTTTGACAACGATTTGATCCCTTTCCCTCCAACGAACTGGGTGAGGATCGATGAGGCGAAGGCTGCTGTTGACCCTTTGCCCTTCGTTCCGGCTACATGTATAACCTTTAAAGCATTGAAATCCGAAGGCTAGGCAGGAGGCGCGAGTTAGTGGTGTAGGTAAGGCGATTGATTCCGACGGGCTCGGTCGTCGCATACTTGGTATCCAATCTTGCGGCACCATTCAATCATCTCAGGAATGGATTGTTCGTTCAGCCTGCCCCCAGACTTGCGGATTGCATCAACAATTGCGAAATTGGACTGAAGAGAATTCAGCGATGTCACAGCATCCTACAGAGTGGTCAGTCCAGGTCTCCAAGCATAGCTTTTGACGACACGTACAGCGTACGTCCGTGCCATGGCGGTCGAGGTTGTCACAAAGCTGCGAACTGTGAGTCTGAGAGGGAATGAATATTTGAGGATCCATCTCCTCATCATAGAGCAGGCGTAGAGAGCGTCAGGGCTGCCCGCAAGGCGTTCGGTGGCCGTCTCGCCGTCTTGGAAATGGGGAAAACCGCAATAGACTTCTGCGTTGAAGTTGTTTCTGAGGCGCCGTAATTTTCTGGCGGAGCATTGTTGCTGCTTGATGAAGCAGCGTCAAGCAAGCATCTGGGCAAGTGTGGTCTGACCACCATTATCTAAGAACCATCCTCGACTCGGAGTTATGACTCTGGGTTCTGCATCGAGTCCCTTCATGGCGATATAGATCGAGGTCAAAGGACGTGGCAATGGGTCAATCCCAATCCTCACATCCGCCGAGGGAGGTGCCAATCGGTGAGTGAACCATTTGATCAATGATGCAGCCGCCTGGGGATCTAATAGATGTGGACTCACTCATCCAGAGCAACTGAGCCACGAGTTGGCCCTCCGCTTTGCCTCCAAATGCTTCACTCATTTGGAGATAGCTCACTACAAAGATAACTTCAAAACGTTGGCAGATCACCAGGAAGATGTCGAATATTGGAAGGAAGACACCTTGTGCGCCTTCCTCGCTCTCCCAGAGCCACTCAAGGCCGGGCCTGTCTTGTACCATATGTGTACATACCTTGGGGCGTTTCCATTTCCGAGTCTGGCGCCATGTATATTGACTAGGGAAGCCATGCTGAAGGTCATCACCATCATGACGGGTAGGTACAAGAAGATCCTGAAACGAGGCGATCAGGATAGGATTAAGCTGTTGTTCCGAAGTTTGGCGGTCTTCGATCGGCGCCACAGTGTCGCCTCGCCCATGGACAAGCCGAATATGGAGGATATTGTGACGGAGCAGCTCCCCGAAGACATGTTGAAGGAGCGTGAAGTCGAGCAGGGTGTCAGTTCTCATGTCGCTGGGTTTGCCATCGACGAGCCCGTGAATGACGACGAAGACGAAGATGATGACGACCTTGCTCTTGCCGCGCTTGACTCGCTCGACGCCATTGAGGTCTTCAAACACGATCAAAGGACGAACCGCAAGATCAATCACGCAATGATCCCGACAGAGAACCTCAAGAAACTTATCGCGCTCTTGCTACTCGTCGCAGGCATCACGCCCTTGACTCCGCTGGCCATTTACGGCGAACGCCTGGATGGAGAGCGTTTACAGGCGCTGAACATCTCAGCCGACGCGATCGTGGCAGCCTTCGACCCAGAGCCTCACAGCAGAGGAATCAGGTATTCCAATTTTGTCAAGACCGTCACAACGACGTTACCGGATCTATTCGAGCCCCTCAACGCTCTGTTCGAGCATTTTCTGTTCAGCAAGAACTTCACCCTCAACAAATATCGCGACGCCCTACCAGCGATTGAAACTGTTGAGGCCATACCATCACCAATATATAAATCACCGGAAGACACCACTTTTAGTACCATCTTCACCGATACTCTCCTCGCTCAAATGTCCATGTCCGTCCAAATCTCCGCATCCGCCTCGTCAAGTTCTTCGCTCAAGAACATCTTCGCTTCCAACTCTCGCTTCAACCAACTCTACTCGACTTCGTCCCACGGCACCTCCTTGTCGTCCTTCTCCCGGCAAGTCCACTCGTGGCAATCTTCTACATTGGTCCTCATCTCTGGAACGCTTCCCGACAGAAACGACCCCATCGTACTCGGTGCGTACCTCTCCGAGCCGTGGCGCGAAAAGCCAACGGCTCCTTCCTCCTCGACTGATGCCCCATCCAAGGCATCCTGCCTCTTCCAACTCCTCCCCCGCCACTGCATGTTCCTCGCCAATCAATACAACCGCACGATCCCGTTCTCGTATTTCAACTCCAAAACCGGCATCGCACTGGGCTGTGTGATCCCGCCGCAGCAGTCTCGTACAGGTCCACCCCAACCGCCGATTTTGGGACCGGTCAGCGTGTTAATCGACAGCGACCTGTCAACATGCACTTTCCAGCACGATGGGGACGCCGGGGTCGGTGCGTTCATGACAGACCCGGGGCTGGAGACGGCGCAAAAGCATCACCGGGAATCCACGCAGCCGAAAAAGGCAGTTTTCGACCTCGACACGCTCGAAGTCTGGGGCATTTCCTTCCCGCTTGCCCGCACAGGCTCGCTCTCCGAGAATGCCGGAGACGAGGACGAGATGATCAAACAGAAGAAACGGCTCGCGTGGGAAGAGGCCGAGGCCGCACGACGCAGGGGGGTGAACTTCGGAGGGGATAAGGATGGTGCAAGGGCATTGTTGGAGATGGCGGGGCTGGTGGGGGATAAAGCCGGGAATAGGAGTGGCGGATCTGTGTAACAGGTGAGAAGGCTATCAACGGCACGAAAGGGGGGGACGCAATGTGACGGATGAGCATAGAGTCGCTGGCTGAGAAGGTCTTGAAACAACTGTATCTCTAGGCATTAGCAGACTGCTTGGTAAAACGAACGCCGGACAACCCGGGACACCGGTAACTGTTCTCAGGAACGCCTGGGGTACCGCCCGGCAAAGTATATCACAATGATGGACGTCGATGGATGGCCTTCGACCCGGGGATTTCGCACGGGACGTCTCTCGACGACTTCAATTAGTTTTGTCCTGCTCGACTTCTGCCTTCGAAGTGTTCCCAGTGTCGAATGTGGTGTAGATGGTTGATCTCGACTGGGCAAGCATTTGCGAAACCCAGATCCCCTTATCCAGCATCCCTTCCCGAGCCGCCCACACACAACTCCTTCCCTTCTTGCGCCTGCTAGATCAAAACGTTGTGAAGACGGACATACACAATCTGACAGAAAGCCCCAACTTAGTGGTTACTTGGAAATCAACACTGGCAATTTCCAGCGCCCTGCGTTCCAGTCGATTCCGGTCTCAAATCCACACCTGGTCTGGGAGTCGCCCTCAAATTCCTGGGCCCCGCCTGGTCCAGAGGCAGTTTCTTCGCAATGGCGGTGAATAATTCCTTGACGTTTGTAGACGTCTTTGCGGATGTTTCAAAAAAGAGCAAGCCTGCCTCTTTGGCGTACGCCTCTGCGTCGGCAGTTTGGATAGCCCGCTTGTCGGGGTATTCTTCAACGATGTCAAGTTTGTTACCGGCAAGGGCGATGATGATGTTTTCGTTGGCTTGTCTTTGGAGTTCCTTGACCCATGACTTGGCCTTATCTAGGGATGACTGGGAAACGCTATTAGTTGCCGGACAGTTACTTGTAGAGAGAAGGGGGACGTACGGCCTGGGTGATGTCGTAGACGACTACCGCGCAGTTTGCATTCCGGTAGTACATCGGGGCGAGGGATTTGTATCGCTCTTGACCGGCGGTATCCCATATCTCGAACTTGACGGTCGTGTTTTCGTCTAGTGATATCGTCTGAGTGAGGAAGGCGGCGCCGATGGTGGATTCGCGGTAGTCGTCGAATTGATCTTTGACAAAACGGAGGACTAATGAGCTCTGCGGAAAAGGGACATCTGTTAGGATGAATTGGTTCCGAGGGGAGACGCCGGAGTTGTTGGTCAAAGTACCTTTCCTACTGCCGATTCACCTGGATGACAGCAATCAGTGGTTGACTACCTAGGTAGGAGTGAGAGGTTGTCCTCAACATACCGAGAAGGACGAGCTTGAATTGGGCGAACCTGCCGCCTGCGCCTGCGCCTGGTCGGCCTGCGGGAGCTCGAGCGGCCATGATCGGGCTGCGAGTGATGTTTGACTGCTGGTTGGGTATTGGACGAGCCTCGAGAGATTGGCCGTGGACTCAGAGTAAGGATTCAGCAAGAATTGAGTATTTTTGATGATTGCCTGTGGTGGTGTTATGACCTGCAGTCAAAAGTGCCGGGACAGTTGGGGGAGATCTGAGAGATCTGAGCCAAGAAGGATGACGGAGGGCAGAATGCTCGTTACCAACAAAGGCCACCTGCCTTCTAACAACCGCGCGGCAGCCAAGTTACGCAGTCGGCAGCCTCTTCCTGTCCCGCTCTTCTTTACCCTTCCACATCTTTATCCTGTACCCAAATCATGATACGATAGTAAAGACTCCGACAAAGGCCTCCCCGCGACCATCCTCGACCCTCCAGCCCCTTCACGATGGCCAACTTGCTGCCCTTTCGAGACATCAACGTCCACGCCTCCACCAGCCATTACGCCTTTACCTCGCCCTCCAACTCCTCTGCGCCGACTCTTGTGGTGGAAAGACCCTCAGGGGATATCCGACTGAACGATGGATCTCTGTTGGGTGCCAAACGTGTTTCGAGTATTGCTGGAATTTTGGGCATCATCAAGCTAAAGCTGGACAAGTACATCATCGTCATCACCAAGGCACAGCCCATGGGTAGGCTACGGGGCCACATGATCTACAAGGTCGTCGCTACAGAGTTCCTCCCTCTACGAGAACGGCCCGTGCGCGATCCCGACGAAGATACCTATCTTTCTTACCTCAAGGCACTGCTCGCCTCGGGCCCTATGTATTTTTCTTACTCGCTTGACATAACGTCCAGCTTCCAGCGCCAGTCCGAGTCGGATCTCTCACAGCCAATGTGGAAGAGAGCGGATGACCGCTTCTTTTGGAATAGGTTCGTCCAGACGGACCTCATCGACTTCAGGCTCGGAGGCCTGAGGGGCCACCAACAGCCTGGCGCGGATCCATACATCCTCCCGGTAATGCACGGCATGTTGCGCATTACTCCGGCAAAAATCAAGAACACCCCGTTCACTTTCGCTCTTATCACCAGGAGATCCAGGTTTCGAGGTGGAACAAGGTATTTCTCTCGGGGCGTTGATGACGAGGGCCACGTGGCGAATTTCAACGAAACAGAGCAGATTGCTTTGCTCAACGACGCCTCAGGCCCGACAGGCTACGCTGGTGGACGAGGCATGCAGAATGGAAACGCCGGAGGCCAGCCGGCAGAGACCCAAGTCATGTCATATGTACAGACTCGCGGTAGGTCAATCCTCTCTATTTTCTTCTGGACCGAGACTGGTATTAACATTGTAGTTCAGGTAGTGTGCCTGTCTTCTGGGCCGAGATCAACGATCTCCACTATACACCAAAGCTGCAAATCCGAGGCGTGGAATCCGCAGTCGATGCCGCACGGAAGCATTTTGATGAGCAAATTAGGATCTACGGCGAGAATTACCTGGTCAACCTGGTTAACCAACGCGGCAGGGAGGAGCGAGTGAAGAAAGCTTATGAACAGATGGTGCGAATCCTCGTCAGCTCTCCAGAGGAATCAGTAGAGGCAGATATGCGCACGGACGAAAAGTTCCGGGGCATTGAACCGCAGAACAGCCGCCAAAGAATGGACATGCTGCACTATATCTACTTTGATTTCCACAGTGAAACCAAAGGATACAAATGGCACCGTGCCGAACTCTTGTTGGACGAGTTGATAGATGGCCTGCGGAAAGGGCAGTATTTCCGGGGTGTCGAAATGCCCGGCGACCCTTCTGGAGCTCTAGAAGTCAGATGCCGGCAGACCGCAGTCGTGCGCACGAATTGCATGGACTGTCTGGATCGGACAAATGTGGTCCAGAGCATGCTGGGCAGATGGGCCTTGACTCAACAATTCCAAGATGTCGGCATCTTGCATCCCGGTGAGAGGGCGCAAGACGACCGAGCGTTCGAGTTCCTGTTCCGGAATGTATGGGCCGACAACGCGGATGTGGTCTCCAATTCGTACTCGGGAACTGGCGCGTTGAAGACGGACTTTACGCGCACCGGAAAACGGACGAGAGCGGGAGCGCTACAGGACTTCAACAATTCCGCCACACGGTATATCCGCAACAATTTCCTGGATGGGCCGCGACAAGACGGCTTCGACCTCTTCTTGGGCACCTATCTGCCGTCCACCTATGGTGTCGGGTCTTCTTTGATGTTTACGGACCGAAGACCACTCATTATTCAAGCTGTGCCATATGTGTTGGCTGCCTCACTGTTTATTGTATTCGTCTCAGTTCTCACTCGCCGGCCTCCGGACGCAGCGATCTGGCCGCTGCGTATCTTCGTTATTCTGTGCCTGGTTGTTGCCGGGTGGGCGTTCCAGTTCATCTATGCACATGGACTGTTATATGTCAATTGGCCGAAACTCAATACTCCAACATTCGCCAGTGAAGGGTATTCGGAGGCGTTGTCGAGAGCTCACAAGGACAAAGTCGTGGGGCCTATCATCGCGGCGGCAAGTGGCAAGGACAAGGACAGGAGAGCCAGGAATATTAGCACGGCCAACATGGGATATATGGAAGAGGGCAAGAAGAGAATAGAATAATGGCAGCAAAGCCAAGGCGTGGCAGGTTGCTGGGAGTTACCTGTTCCTTGTTGGTGGATTCAGTGTTTGCAGCGGGCGGGCTGCAGAGTTCTGGCACACACCTGCCATAAATACCGATTGCGACAAGCCCATCCCGGTTTTGAGGCCAGCACTTGACGTCACGCTCCTTGCCGAGACTCTGTGCCTCTGATCTTGGCTCGTGGTAGGCTTTCCTGTGGAAGGCACCGTTCTGAGTAGGCCCAACAACAAGCCATACCAGGATACAGCAGCCGGATGCACGGAGCAGCAGTTCACCACGTGAGAAGACGACGTACAACTGGCTCATTGGTTTAATTGCCGGCGCTAAAGGCGCCAAGAGGAGCTTAAGGCAGCGACCTCTTCTGTTCCGCCTTGTCTTCTCCACCCTCCTCGGCCGACCATCTTCTGCAGTGCCTATCTTGAACCTTTTAACCATGTCTCTTTACCTGCATGAGGCATTTTGCGTGCCATGCATCCCACGAACCTTCCTCGCTCCTCCTCACTCGCTTGCTGTCGACGTATGAAAAGGTGCTGTGCGGCTTTTTGGTTTCTGCTCGTCATCTCCTCCAATGGACGAGGCAGCTTGGCATCCCCTGTCTCTTGGCTCATGCAGACGAAGCCCCCCAACAGGCTCTATGCAGCCCTGCTTATGGGCTGAGAATGCTCCTTATTTACCTCGTACAGGGCGCCCCATCCAGCTCTCCTGCGCTTCTGAACCCTTCTACTATCACTTTTCGTCTCATCTCGAGCCAAGATCAGGCCGGGCCGCTCTGATACCAAGCAAATACCTACCTACCTACCTACGCCATGTGCTTGGTGTCGTCTAGTTGGTGGGGTTAAGTGGGATTATGGTATTGTGGCAATGCAGATCCATGCGGACTCCCCTCTCTACCCATACGCTAACCCCGGCTTGACATTTTTCCAACAAGAAATGGGGGTATCACGCGGGTGTTTTGCTCCTTCTCACCACAAGTATTTCGTGCTCAATCCCACATGTCGGAGAATGTCGTCTCCTCTCACTCCCTCCTTCTCTTTTACGTGTCCCCTCTTCGCGAACCTAGCAATTTTCGGAGATTGTCAATTCATGCGTGTTTGTTTGGATGAAGCCGTCACCGAATGGCACACCCTCGCATGCAATTCGACGATGCAATCCAGCCTGTGGCGTCACACTTCTACACGTTGAGGAGCAGAGAAGTTGCAGGAGTGGGAAGCATTCGTGCTCAATCTTCGAGGAGACGTGCGGGAAATGTCGAAGATATGGAGCCGCTCAAGGTTGAAGATCGAGACATTAAGAGAAAGCAGGTAATGGGCATCCTGTTTGTCTCTATTGCTACCCGCACAACAACACTGATCAGAAATAGACTTTTACAGGATTGAGGCTGCTATGGTTGGCATATCAGTCTACCGGAGTCATCTACGGCGATATCGGCACGAGCCCGCTCTATGTCTACTCCTCGACTTTCACAGACGACCCTTCTTATGATGACTTACTTGGAGCCCTGTCTCTGATCATTTGGGCTCTCACCATTATGGTCAGCATCAAATATTGCCTCATTGTTCTCGCTGCGGACGATGAAGGCGAGGGAGGGACATTCGCTCTCTTCTCCCTGTTATCGAGGTATGCAAATATTGTCAGACGCGATCCTCGAGAGGAGCAGTTGGTCAGAATAGAGCGTCACATCGCTAGCGAACTAGGAAGATCGGCCCAGAAAACTCGAGGTCTCATGGAACGATCTCGGACGACACAATGGCTGCTGAAAATCCTGGGCGTCTTTGGCGTCGCTCTCGTCATGTCTGACGGTGTCCTGATGCCAGCGCAATCGGTCCTCGGCGCCATTCAAGGCATAAAAGTTGTCCATCCTACTATATCACAGAGCACCGTCATCGGATCGTCATGCGCAATCCTCGTTGTTCTCTTTCTAGTTCAACCATTTGGCGTAACTAAGCTGGCAAACACGTTCGCCCCTATTGTCATTATCTGGCTGCTTTTTAACGCCGTATTCGGCGTGTACAACTTAGCTTGGCATGACTCGTCGGTGCTGAAGGCGTTTTCGCCTTATTTTGCTGGAGCCTATCTAGTCCGGAACAAGACTGGCTGGGAAAGCCTTGGAGGGATCCTTCTAGCATTCACTGGTTGCGAAGCCCTTTTCGCCGACTTGGGGGCCTTTACCCAACGCGCCATCCAACTCTCATGGCTGACGTTCGCCTTCCCTTGCTTGTTACTTGGCTACATTGGCCAAGCAGCATACATCTCTGACGACCCTTCTGCGTGGTCGAATCCGTTCTACAAAACAGTTCCACCTGGCTGTTTCTGGCCTTCACTCATTATCGCAATTTTGGCAGCTGTCGTTGCAAGTCAAGCAATGATCACGGCGGTCTTCCAATTGCTCACGCAAATTATGAAGTTAAGCTACTTTCCGCAGGTCAAGGTAGTACATACCTCGAAGATCTTCTACGGGCAAGTCTACATCCCTATCGCGAATTGGTTGTTGATGATTGCCACTTGTATCGTCACTGGAGTGTATACTAACACCGCCAACTTGGGCCATGCTTATGGTGTCTGCGTGGTACGTGATGATTCTGAATTTGCTTTGTACAGCAATTTTCAATGTTTCTCTCTTTCATGGTGCTGCCCCTGAGAAAGGCGACCGTTGAACTAACCCATCCCACCGTCCAGATTCTGGTAACAATGTTGACAACCTGTATGGTCGCCATTGTGGCCTTGATCGTCTGGCGTGTCCCGGCTTTTGTTGTGGTTCCCGTATGGCTCATCTTCGCTCTCTTTGACGGTACATTCCTCTCTTCGGCGATGACAAAAGTTCCCGAAGGCGCATGGTTCACGCTCGCCTTGGCAGTGGCCCTCTCTTCGATCTTCCTCCTCTGGCGATTCGGCAAAGAACAACAATGGCGCGCCGAAGCATCAGATCGGTTTCCACCAAGTCATCTAATCCGGGCCATTGCCAGCCCTTTCACGGGCCACAACAGCAACAGTGACCAAAGCAATATTTATACCCGGAAGCTGAAGCTTTCGCCAGCCTTCGGCGGCAAAGAAGTCACACGCATCGACGGCATGGGGATTTTCTTCGATAAATCAGGCTTACCTTCCAGCACGCCAACAGTCTTTATCCACTTTTTACAGAAATTCCATGCCGCGAACGATGTCATCGTGTTCTTTCACTTGCGACCTCTTCAAATTCCTACCGTTCCGGCCGAAGAGAGATTTGCCGTGTCGCGGTGCTATATCGGAGACGAAGAGGGAAACAGCAAGCGCGTCATGCCTGACACGTACCGCATCATGATCCGCCATGGGTATAACGACGAAGTAGTGACCAACGACTTGGGAGGCCTTCTGTACGAGCAGATCCGAAATTATCTCATCCGCGAATGTGTGGGGACAGTTTTACCGCCCGATGCTGATCCGATCTCGCCGAGTATTAATGGCGACGTATTAATAAAAGAAAAGGATGCCGTCTCGCGCACAACCGAAGTTTCCATCCCTTCTGCTCCTGTATCGGGCCGCCTGGCCTCAGGAAATCTCGAGCTCGCTCGCAAACTCGCCGATCTGCAACGTGCATACGAGAGCCAAGTGGTCTACGTGGTAGGCAAGGAACAAATGCGCGTGAAGAAAGGAAAATTGACGCCCGGGCATGTCTTGAGGAGAGGAGCGTTGGAATTGTTCTTGTTACTTCGGGAAAATTCGCGCACGAAAGTCCAGGCTTTGAATGTGCCAGTGGAGAAGCTTGTTGAAGTTGGATTTGTTAAGGAGGTTTGATTCGAGGTGTGGAATGAGCCCCAACCCAACCGCCGCGGAGTAAACAGTACGCACAGATGGATGGGTAAAGCTATTCGCCTCAGGGGCATCTCTACCTGGACAGGTCCATTTCCACTTGGATCGATTCTCAGGTTTGAAGTAAGAGCCCCATCTACCAATAAATTCAGTTCCCTTTCGTTTCTCAACCCGCGACAACGGCCAAAAGAAACCCATCAAACGTCTCGCCCTCACGTCCCTTATGGCTGCTGACCACACTCACCATTGTGGCCTTTACTCTGCCGTCCTTGCCTACCTTGACCGGCAAACTCTCTTTCTGCCCTGCTTCATACTTTTCACTTTCAGGGTCCTCGAGAATCGCCCGGACCACATTGTCGACATAAATGCACCCGTTCGGACGCGCGAGTTGGACGGCGTGCTGGAAGTAGTCGAACTGCTCGTCCCAGTCCGCGTCGATGAAGACCAAGTCGAACTTGGCCCTTTTGCCGTCCCGCTGTTCTGCGAGAAGGCGGGGGAGGCTGTCTAGCGCGGGCGCGAGGATGACTTCAAAGTCCTTGCCGTCCTCGTAGCCCGCGTGCTTGAGGTTCTGGAGCGCGACGTCACGGTGGTGCGGGTCAATTTCCAGAGACGTCACGCGCACGTCGCCGGCACTCAGGAACCAGAGCGTCGAGTAGCCACCCAAAGTGCCGACTTCGAGGACGTTCTTCGCGCCGATCAGCTGCGCTTGGATCGCCAGGTATTGACCTTGCAAGGGGGATATGGTTATGGGTGGGAGGCCGTTGGCTGCCGAGTTCTCCAGAGCATGGGAAAGAGCCTGGGAGAGATCGGTGCTGGATTGCGGGAGGAGGGAGGATCGTGCGAGGGAGTCGATCTGTTGGGCGCGTTGGTAGAGGGTGAGGGGTGCAGTCATGTTTGAAAAAGGGATGCTTCGGTAGAGTTTTATCGAGTTGGTTGAGCTAACAAAATCTCCTCCAGGACCAGTCTTACCAGATACCAAGGGATTTAGTCTAAAACAACTTACTACAGATCAATTTTTCCCCTTGCTCGGGAGAAGGCAGTCGTTGCCTTATGTAGACCTTGGATTGCCATCACAAAAGCGAAGATCAGCGATAGAGCCGAGCCGGCCGAGCAATCGGCGAGTCTGGCATATCAACGCATGAGGCTGCTGCCGACATCAGCCAATAAACCAATGTCTGGCGTAAGTTAGCGCATGGATCGCCGATGGAATGGAAACGCCAACACCCCATGAGGAAGCGAGGGAGGTACAAACATAATCTGCAGGGTCGCAGGAGAAGACTGCTGCTTCCCCCGTATCGAGGCAATATGAAATTGCCGCTGCCATTGTGTCTCGCCAGAGCAGACTTGCTTGGTTCAATCTTTCATCAGGTTTCGTTGCCGCACGCTTGTGGCCAAAGGCAGATTTCTCCCGATTCATTTGCTCTCCCTGCCCGACTCGTTTGCTAGGGCTTTCTCTGGGGCGCTGGGGTGCTCTCTGACTTATCAAGTTGCCATGGCCAGCCAATGTCATAGAGAAATTGTTCAAGATCCAGATGATTATTATCCGGGTTGTATGCGCTCATGTGCATGTTGGGCGTCACAATCGTGCTCTTATATCGGTTCATTGCGTAGAATCGGAAGAACCTCATCGCCTTGGTGGCGATCTGGAGGGGGCCGCATCCAAGATACTGCCATTCGACCAGCAGTTTCAAGTAGCAGGACTGTGGGCCGAATTTTTCCACCTTCCATAATACTCTGAATGCACTGAATTCGTCGTGCGTCAGGCTTATTTCGTTCTCAGATTCATCTTTTTGGGACACCTTCAGAGAGAGGAGTGAGCTCGGCACTGGGCCGGGCGTCAATGAATTCAGCGATCAGTAGCATGTTCCACTTCTGGCGAGCCCATGCTAGAAATGCTCTCGCGTCAAATTTTGAGATGCTTCCTCATGGCGCAATATCAACAGATGAACAATAGTACTCGGTCTGTACGTCTCTCAAGTCGATAAGCAATTTGGTCTTGAAAGCAAAGAGGGCACCGAGATTGATTAAGAACTTACCAAATAGCCTCTTAAGACTTCGTCGACATTGGTGCTGGAGAGTCCAAGTAGACTCGCTTTAGCCCTCCGGCATCTTGTGAGCCGATGTGCCCTGCTGAGCCAGCTCATGCTAAACTACTATTCTATCCGCGCTTGAATGTTTTCCTTTGCAAGATGTTCTGCGGCTGTGCCCCCTTCCATTTGGAATCTCGGCTTGAAATTCAGAGCGTTCCGCACGATGTTCTCGTGTGCAATCACGGTCTCGTCGATATTGATGTCCGAATGATATGCACCTATGCTGGCGGCCAGTCCCTTGGCACGCGGCCTCGTTTCATCTCCGCTATTATGCGTTGCCATGAAGCACGTGTGAAATAATCGGTTCACCATCTCCTGCGGTGTTCTGACTGCGTGGGCTTTTTCGCCAGGGATTCAACGTAAATCCGCCGGCGTGTTGTCCTACCCTCCGCTAATGGACTTTCACACGACGTTGGTCATACCAAAAACAAAGAGAGCCACAGTAGCGCTATCAACGCCTCCAAAAAGAGTAAGAAAGTACCCAGCAGTGTTGGAGCGGGTGAGATACTGCCACAGGAATACAGCTTGGGTCATGGAAATCTCTTCCATGGCGTCGAGAATCTTGAGAGGAATTTGCGGCGATGGATGCAACATTTGGGAAAAGACCTCGTCGGCGGAGCGTGGAAGGCATAGGTCATCCTCGATTCTGGGTACCTAGGCTGAGCTGCAGCTTGAAGACTGCGCGAAATGCTACTTCTGTAGCTGCGAACTTCTTCGAGATCGATTGTCGCGGTGGTAGCTTCATAGGGTCACGCGAGAATTGCGGAAATTGGTTTAGCACGCGACCGTTGCACAAAGTCATAGATGAGCCGCCAGCATCATCCTGTCCTCACCATCGATCATCAATCAGAGTCATCGCAACTGCAAGGGATTTGGAATGAGAGCAGCTCTCACCGCACCGATAGCATTAGCATAAATATAAATACCTCCCAGTTTGCGAGTGTAGTCCTGGATTAGGCTGAGTCGGTTGTTGAGTTTTCTCAACTCGGCGTGCGAAGCGCTACTACAGTCCTCCCAGGAGTCACATCAGCAACCTGATCTTGCAAACAGGAAGAACCCAGCTATTTTCAGCAGAATATGATGTTGCAGAGAACTTACGAGTTTACAATGACCTCCACCCCATTGGGAGCCATGTTCTTGGAGCGATTGGACGACTGTACAAGGGTTAGCAGCTCCTGGCCATTTCTGTCGTTGAAGCGACCGCCTCGTGGTGCCATGACTGAGAACAAGTCGACTTCTTGAAGGAGGGCGTGCGGGCTTGCAGCTCAAGTTCGACAGGTGGATTTCCTACAGTAAAGAGCTCCTCGCACGTTACACACTCGGACCACCAATTGCAAGCCCTCGAATTGAAATATAATTGCAAAGAACCGCTTAGAAGTATTTTCCACTTACCCAACCGATGTAACCAACCTAGAGAAAACGGCTTCGCTAATTGGTACCGTCATCCGGCCGGTGATATCGCTGATAACCTTTTCAAGGTAATCCGTCTCGGTGGTCCTCTCCTTGACCCAGGTCGCAAAATGTCGAGCTTCACAGTATAGACCGTCTTGGGCAAGGCTCATTTTTAGCTGCATGAAGGAGGTTTTCTTGTAGGTGAGCGGAATGTTACTGTAACGTCCGTTCTGGCAGTGTCAGGCAGGGACAGGAGTGTTTGCTATTTTATTTCTTACTCTATACTGCACGTCCAGACCCCGTTGATAAGCATGTTCTTGTGGATAGGATCTTTCAAGATCTCCCCCATTACCTCGCAACTGTGAAAGAGGGTGTCGGATTCGACTAAGAGGTCAGAGTCGGTTGATCATGTCTTTTGAGGAACGCTTGACTTATCGAGACATCCATAACCAGAAATCGTTTGCTATTACAAGTCATTATCATTTTCGTTGCCAAGCAGCTAGGTACCATGAAACTATCGCAGCACATGGCAAATCGGAAATCGTACTCGAGGCCGGTACCGTAGTTTAACTCCTCTTGCTCTGGCTAGCCGTATGATATCTAGGATTCTCTCGAGATTCACTTGAAAGTCTATCGGCACACTGGGGAGTGTGGCACTCACGACGGGAATGAGAAAGCATGTCGTCGTAGAGTCAACTGGGCGCAGGATTCAGCTGTCAGAAGGCTGACCGAGCGGACGCTCACAATATATGTCCTGAAGATTGTCAGGATAAAGCTACTGCCAAGCTCAGCCTTGTGAGTGCGCCAATTCAGAGACTTTTCATTGGCTAACAGACAAGCGATCAGGCTCGGGCTTGGCGACGCCGGGTTGAGCTCAAAAAAAGTTCCCCGTCAAATGATGGAGCATTGAAGGAGCGAGGACAGCTTCGTGACCTCTCGACTTGTCAAGATGAGTGCATCGCGTGCCATCGGAGGCTCCTCGAGGCTTCTCAGCAATCTAGCACGCTCTCAAAACTCGGCTCTCGCGCGGCACCGGGTTTGCCGGCGATGCGCTTCCACTGCAGTTCTCCCGACGTTGTCCGCGGGCCTGAGGGCGCAGTCGAAACAATGGCCGCTGGACCGACGATGGCAGCAACGGCGAGGTGCGGCGGGCGCGGCGGCTGCGATGTGAGTATTCCTCATAAGTTTCTCCTGGATTTTGTTCTAAATGCGTGGCAGGCTCGAAGAAGCCCAAGATGATCCCGAGGCCCTCTCGCAAGAAACCATTATTGACAATTTGTCGCCGGAGGAGGCACATCGTCTGTCAAGAGTTCGAAACATTGGGATTGCGGTCAGTCACAAGTCCAATTTCCTGTAGTTCAGTCAATTGACATCGACAGGCACACATTGATTCTGGCAAAACGACGGCGACAGAACGAGTCCTCTTTTACACGGGCCGGATTAAATCCATCCACGAAGTCCGCGGTAAGGATGCGGTCGGAGCAAAAATGGACTCGATGGAACTTGAGAGAGAAAAAGGCATCACTATTCAGTCCGCAGCCACTTTCTGTGACTGGGTTAAAAAGGAGAATGGCAAGGAAGAAAAGTACCACATTAACTTGATCGACACTCCCGGACACATTGACTTTACTATCGAGGTGGAGCGTGCACTCCGAGTACTTGATGGCGCTGTCATGATTTTATGTGCTGTGTCTGGAGTCCAGAGCCAAACTATCACTGTCGACCGGCAGATGAGGAGATACAATGTGCCCAGAATCAGTTTCATCAACAAAATGGACAGAATGGGCGCGAATCCATGGAAAGCAGTCGATCAGATCAACAAGAAGCTCAAAATTGCCGCTGCCGCTGTACAGGTGCCTATAGGCGCTGAAGATGAGTTTCGCGGCGTGGTCGACCTGATCACCATGAAGACGTACTATGCTGAGGGCGAACGCGGTGAGATTATCGTCACCAAGGACGAAATTCCAGCCGAGGTTCAGGAGCTCGCAAAACAGAGAAGAGCAAAGCTGATCGAAACACTTGCCGATGTCGATGACGAGATTGCGAACTTGTTCTTGGATGAACAGGAGCCTACGGTCGAGCAGCTGAAAGCCGCCATTCGCAGGGCTACCATTTCGCTCAAATTCACACCGGTCTTTATGGGATCTGCTCTCGCCGACAAATTCATCCAGCCAATGCTCGACGGTGTCTGCGATTATCTCCCGAACCCCTCCGAGGTGTCAAACACCGCTCTGGATCGAAGACAGAAGGAGGCTCCTGTCAAGCTTGTACCTTACAACTCGCTGCCCTTTGTCGGTCTGGCGTTCAAGCTGGAAGAATCCAACTTTGGGCAACTCACCTACATCCGCGTGTACCAAGGCAAATTGCGGAAAGGCCTTAACGTGTTCAATGCTCGGACTGACAAGAGAGTTAAGATCCCACGTATTGTTCGCATGCACTCGAACGAGATGGAGGAAGTAAACGAAGTCGGGGCTGGAGAGATCTGTGCGGTGTTTGGAGTTGATTGTGCATCGGGAGACACCTTCACAGACGGTCAATTGGGTTATACCATGACCAGCATGTTTGTGCCTGAACCGGTCATCTCTCTCAGCATCAAGCCGAAGAACAACAAAGACTTGCCCAACTTCTCCAAAGCCATTGCGCGCTTCCAGCGCGAGGATCCCACATTCCGAGTCCATTTCGACACCGAAAGCGAGCAGACTATCATCTCTGGCATGGGCGAGCTCCACCTAGAAGTCTACGTCGAACGTATGCGCCGAGAATACAAGGTCGATTGCGAAACAGGCCCACCTCGCGTTGCTTACCGTGAAACCATCACCAAACGTGTCGAATTCAACCATCTCCTCAAGAAACAAACTGGCGGTGCAGGTGATTACGCCCGTGTTGCGGGCTATATGGAGCCAAAGGGTAACCTCGAGGGCAACCACTTTGAAGAACACATTATTGGCGGTGCCATTTCCGAGAAGTTTCTTTTCGCTTGTGAAAAAGGGTTCCACTTGTCTTGCGAAAAGGGTCCCTTGGTTGGACACAAAGTCCTCGGCGCAACCATGGTCATCAATGATGGTGCAACACACATGACTGATTCGAGCGAAATGGCATTCAAAAACGCTACGCAGCAGGCCTTCCGAAAGGCGTTCATGGACGCTGACCCTGTTGTCCTGGAACCGATGATGAAGACCGTCGTGACAGCTCCAACCGAGTTTCAAGGCAACGTGGTCGGGTTGTTGCAAAAGCGGAATGCGGTGATCAACGATACTGAAGTTGGCGTGGATGATTTCACGGTCTGGGCCGACACCAGCCTCAACGGTATGTTTGGATTCAGTGGTAACCTCCGAGCCGCGACGCAAGGCAAGGGCGAGTTCAGCATGGAGTTCAGCCATTACGAGCGCGCTCCAATGCAGCTGCAGAAGGAATTGCAGTCCGAGTACCTAAAGGCCCAGGCGGAGAGGAACAAGAAATGAAAAGTGGACCGGACCATGAGGTGAATACAGGTGCTGAATGAGGGAAGCCCGCCTTCTTACCGACCTGTCCGCATTGCTCCTTGTGGATCATGACGAATTGGGCGAGCCGGGATTCTGTAGCGTTCATCCGACGATAACGAGCAAGAGAAGCACACAAAATCCACAAGAAGCAGCGCTTGACGTTGGAGATCCGGAGGCGCTTCTGCAACATCACAGCCTCCTGCTCGGGCTGAGACGACACATGACGATCCTCAATGTGTCAAAAAGATGAATTCAACGCCTGTTCGAGGAAGATCGTGGCGTCGATCCTCGGATCTTGACATGAAGACTGGTGGGCGAGTGAGTTGGTGGTTTCTCCGCGTCCGCGACGACGTTTCAAGGGCTGTAAAAGGGGTTCGGCGTCACAATATTCTTTCCATGGGTATATGTGTTACTACCACTCTACTCTGAGCGTTCCCTCCCGCCGTCGAGACTATTCAACTTCGGCATGTACATAATATACAGGCTACAATTCAAAAAGGAGAATTCAAAAGCTATTACGGGGTGTGCGTCCCAGTCCTCCATCTTGTACCCGGTGCATCGTCGGCATGGAGGTCATTCACTGCATTGGCGGTCGCATTACACGCGGTGTTTCAGCGCCCTGCCCACACTTCGTTACTCATTCTATGGACCTCGCAGTCCTCTTCTTACTGGTGCTGGTTATACCTGTGGATATGTAGCTCCGTACTGAGCACGCCGTGGCTTGCTGTAGCGAACACACAGGACTTAAAACCAGCCAGCCACACCCCTAGCATCTCGCCTTCTCGCCTGTCCAGCTCCGGCGCATGGGTCAATGGTGTGCGTCGGCTTGCCCGCTCAAGTTCTGGAGTATGTACTCCGTACTCCATACTCCATACGTGCTTAGTTGTTCTGCATCTATCTAAAACCCCTGCTTCGGTCCTTGGTCATCACCATGTATTGCGCAGCTACAATACCCTTGAAGTGGACCATGATTGATTGGTAGGTCGCAGCGAGGGATCTTGGGAACCAACTGCCCGTGTTCGTGTCTTCACCGTTCGCCCCAACCTTGCAGGACTCGATACATTTTCTTCAGCCTGACTGCCTCATTGACGACGCTCCCTCTCCTTCTCCTCCCTTGCTTGTTTGCGACTGCGGTGGCTCATACCGTCTACCAGCGCGGGGTTTCACCATGTCTACTACGGATGACGGAGGCTTCACCTTGGCTACACAATCGTTCGATACGAGCTCCATTGCCTCCCTTGCGTCGTCCTTGGCGAATTTGATCGGACGGCAATCTCCTCTTTCACCCAGACCGACGGTGCTGCTATCACTTCTACCACACCGTCGGCATCGGCTACCACCAGTCATGCTTCGGGCGCAGTCACTCGCACGACCACGACCAGGAGTCCGAGTACAGCCACTGGCATTGGCACTGGTACGTCCGCGCCTGATTCAGGAGAGCTCTCTTCGGACGCAGCAGCTGGGATCGGCGTCGGGGTTGGAGTCCTCTTTCTCATCATCTCCTTTATCTCCGCTCTTCTGATTTTGAGGCGGCGGCGTCGTTATCCTGGCCCAACCGAAAAGCATGAGCACGAAAGTGCGTCGTGCATATACCATCAAAAGCCGGAGCTTGAGGACACAGGTATGCCAAACAGTAGCGTGGGGAACCTGCTTCGCAGTGAACTAGCAGGGCAGGGGACGAATCGGGA